GGGCCGCGGCGCGCAGCGCGCGCTGATTGGCCGGCGCCGCGGAGACCTCGGAAGGGGGGACTTGAAACCGCCCGTCGGGGGGGGGGCGCGGGGAGCGGCGGTGCGGCCGGGCGGGCGCTGCCGCTCCGCGGCGCCGGGCGGGACGGACCCGGCGGGAGGCAGGGACACAGAGAAGGAAGAAGGGAGGCGGCCGGGGGCTGGGCACGCCGCCTTCTCCTCCGGACCGGCCCCGGCGGGTCACGCCCGGCGCCGCTCACCCCAGCCCCGCGCTGCCGGCGGTCACCCCGGGGCCAGGCGCGCCCGGCTGCGCGGAGCCCTGAGTGGAGCCCGGGGCCAGCGTGTCCTGGCTGCCAGCTCCAGTCACGGGTGTTGCTCGCTTCGCTGCCTTTAAAAACACGCGGGGAAAGCCACCCCCTGCGGGCCGGGCGGGGGTCGCTCAGGGTGGGCTGTGGGGAGCCCTTCTGCCTCTCTCCGGGGGCTCGGGCAAGGCCACGCTGTGTCCCAGCGCACCTCTAGTTTTAAAAGTCAGGGCTTTGCGTCCCTCACCCCACCAACATCTGTTTCTGCAGAACCAAAGTAACCACCAGTGCCGGCCTCGGGTGGCAGTGCCCGCGGGGACAGATGGTGGAGCAGCACAAAAATAAGGGCTTCAAGCAGCTCCTTCCCCCTGCCCTGGCCTCACCTCCGCCTCCGAAGTGACTGGCTGAACAAAACGCAGCCGGGCCGGCGGCTGCGCCTTGCTTGGGGTTGTGTGATGAGTTAGCCGCTGCTAGAACGGGGAGGTTACCGTAAACCACGGGGGATGTCGGGTGTGACGGGGCCGTGCGCTCCGTGCGAGGGCAGGCGGGCTCGGGGCGGCGGCGTGCGGAGCCGCGGGGCGGGGGCGGCACTCCCGCGGCGGCGGCAGCGCTGCGGCGCCCGTGGGAATGTTCACGGCCATCGGGACCTGCCCGAGCAGGGCCAAACTCGTTCACAGGTTAAATTGAGGTTTAAATTGAACTTGGGGGGGGAGGGGGGGGGGAGAGAAGAAAAAAAGTCTTGCAATGCGGTAGGTCGAAAAGGATCAAAACTTGGAGGCGTCCAAGATCGTCTCAGAAGAAAAGGAAAACCTGGGGCTTCGCCTAAGTTTTGGGTTTTATGGTGGGGGCCAGGGTCACAGCGGTGATGACAAGGCAGGCTTGAGGGGCTCTGCTCCACACACGCTTCTGCGGCACAGACCAGACAAACCCCAGACTCTGTGTCTCCTGAGCCTTCACATCCCTCTGCTCCTCTGCTGCTCTGATGGGTTCAAAAATAACTGGGAGTGTCCCCTGGGACTGAGGCTATGGGATAAATCTGACCCTCCAGCAGCACGTGAGAAGTTCACTAAATATCCCTGGTTAAAAATAATACCGTGATATCCTGTACCTCCTGTGTGGAGGTGGAAAGCACTAATGCCACTGGAATGATGGGCGTTGTGCCCTCGGCAGCAAAAGGGCCTCTCTGTGCCCAGAATATTGCCCTGCCCTGCTCCTGTTCATCGGGAGCTTGTTTTCTTGTAACTCTATGATTTTCTCTGATAGGTGAGTACACAAAACCCAATCACTTCCTACTCCCCTGGAGTAGTTTGGGATGTGAAACAAGCCCAGGGAAGTGAGATGGGAGACAGGATCCCTTCCTCTCCAGGTGCCTTCAGCAGTCTGGTTCCAGGTCTCCAGACAGGAGTGGAGGATGTTTCCGAGATGCTCAGAGGAGAGAGCGGGCTGAGAAGGGAGACAGGAAACCACCTCGGCTTTCCCTCCTCTCTTCCGGACAGCTGCAGTTCCCAGCTTTTTCTAGAGGAAACAGCCAAGAGCAGTTGATGAAAAACTTCTCAAAGTGGCACAAAAAAAGAAATTATCAATTTTGCCATCCCAGGGTGGCAGAGCCCGACCTGCCGGCTGCCAAACCTTGGCACGGCAAGGGCGGAAACTCCCATCCCGTGTGAATTCACCGGGCACCGGCCCTGCCTTCGCATCTTCCGCGACCCGATGATTAGAGCAAATTATAAGCTGGTGCTTTGGACCAATTTAGGTAAAGATCAGAAGGGAGACTAATTTCATATCATCACCACCGCAGAAGGCAATTAAGTGGCTCTGCAAAGTTTTAACGCAAGTTATGACAGGAAATTTAGGAAAAAATAAATCCCCACACCCAAAGCCAGCAGCTTCATCCAGCCGAGTTGCAGGAGGATGTACCAAGGCTACCGAGTGATCCCAAGGTGTGGAGGGCGACCTGTGGGCTACCTTACTTTGGCCAGACTTTCTCTTAATCAGGAGTTTTTCTTGGGTTGCAGCAATTAAGGCACCAGAAGTCATTAAAAACCCCAAACCATCACCCAGCTAGTTGTTTAAACACCTGCCTGTGGATTTCTCCCAGCTGTCAGGGTTGTCTCCCATGCCAGGGCTGTGTTGCATGGCACCCGCCTGGTGGGTACCCAACAGATCCTGCTCCGCTGAGCCCAAAGGCAGGAGCAGGTGCCAGGGGGAAAAGACAGCATCCCCTGGGCACAGCAAAGGCAAGGCTCAAATTTACTGCACACTGCCAGTGGCTCCGCTGGGACTGCTGTGGGATCCCCGTGGGCAGGCTCCCAGTGGGCAGGGATGTGCAGCAGGAAGGACAGGTTTGGGAGGGAGTAGCTGTGGGAAGAGTGGCCTCTCCATGTTGCATATTAATGCTGCTTGTGCTTTAATTGCGGTGGGACCTCTCGAGCAGAGCCATTAGCATGCAATGCGGAGGAACATGTATTTTTGGGATGCCTGCCTGGCTCACAGACTCTCAGCTGTGGGGAGGGGTAGGCTGTGGGATGCAGGGAGAGGTGTCTTGTTCCCCCCCCACCCAGGGATGCCGCTGGAGCCGCAGCTCCTTCCTCGAGCCCCTGAATCATCCCCGCTGCCATCTGCTGCACCCTCGCTCTTCCCCACAGATGTCCTTCTTCCTTCCCCAGAAGGAGATGAGAACTGAGGACGAGGTGCCAAACACGACTTCAAACAGCATCTAATAAAACACGGGATTAATTTCTTCTGACTGGTGCTCAATGGCTCTGATTAAGCAGAGCAGGATTTAATTAGCTTGTTTGGACTGCCTCGAAGCCCGTGCCAAAGGTGGGGGAGTCTCAGTGGTTGGGTCTCCCCAGGCCCTGACCAAGAGCTCATGCAGGCCTGCAGGACCTTCCCCCTGAAGAGCAGAGCCCACTGCCTGCCCTGCCAGGATCCTATCACCACCCTTTACCAGCCAGGATGGGTGCCCTTGGCTGTGCTTAATCCCAGTGACGCCCATGGGGCAGGCACGGGGGAATGACAGGAGCAGGGTAGGGTTTGATGGGGGACACAAGTTGGTGGCCCCACCAAGAAGACACTGTTGTCTTCCCCAACAGCATCTCATCCTCTGAACCCCGTGCCTCTTGGCACAAACCAAACTTGCCCTGCCACCAAGACCTTGAATTTAAAGTAACCCTGTTCTCTCCCTGATTTACTACCAGTTGCTGGCTCCTCTCCTCTCCCTCCGCCTGTCTCCTTTAACCCATTTCATTATCTATGCTAGCTTAGGCTTGTCTATGTGGGAACATCATGGTGAAGTTATTGCAAAATAGATGGGCTGTGAATGTAAAGCGTGGCAGCTATTCCCCAGCAGCTCCCTGCGTGGCAGCTCCAATTCCTCACCCGCAATTCCTGCGCTAACCTCGGCTGCAGGCAGGCACTGCAAAGTGCCGAGCAGGAGCACCCATGTGGGACACGGCTCCTGGGCTTTCCCTAGGGAAAGCTGGGAAACCATGCTGCATTCCCATAGCTGGCGCTCCTGGATCTTAACTCTGTGGGTTCCTGTCATTGCAGGGGAGACAAACAGAGGCAGAAGGCACAAAGGGAGAAAGCGACAGAGGTAAAGCTGAGGAGGACTTCCCTGTCTGAGGAGCACGGACAACTTGCAAGCCCCAAACTCACGCTTGTGGTTTGACTCCTGAGGAATGGGGCAAAGGCAAAACCCCAAATGTCAGACCCTGGTTACCCTGACAAAGTGTCACCTCTGCTCACCTCTTGCCAGTGCCAGCTGCCCTGGGCAAGTCTGGTTCT